AACCACTCCCATACCTGCTTACTGGAATAAAAGTAGGTGCGTAGGAACTCAAGGGGTCTTTTCGCTCCTGCTTCTACACACCTCACCAAAGAAAGATGTTGTCCGTGTCTTCTTAAGCTGCGTGCGAGGCCCGATAGTCAGCCTGACTATCGTACATCACCGGTTCCCCAAATCACCCTGGAAAGGGCCAAACGTATCAGGCCAGTCACTATTTCTTGACCCTGGGCGGCAGGCAACGGCAAACAGCTTCCAAAAATCCTGCCAAGTAAACTAGGACTAGGCAGTGCTCAGAAGTTATTCCTGACTTGAAGACACATACTGTACTGTACAGAGTCTAACATTCTGCCATCTTTCAACCTTAAGTAAGGTCACCGCGTCCCCATTGATTGCAGAGGGGGCCCACTGGACCCAAGTCTAGTCAACCTGAAGCTGACTCTGGCACACGCTTTTTCTGGGTCAATCTTTTGGATAAGAACTGAATTGCTCCATTTAACATAATTGTACATGAGGGCGATTTAGCAGGGGCCGGTTTTTATAGTTGGCACAAGTAGTCCCGACCTATGACCACAACTGAGCCCAACATTTCTGTTGTTGTGAGACTTTTGTTAAGTAAATTTTACCGTTTTACGACATTTCTTGCCACAGTTGTTAAGCGAATCACTGTAGTTACTAAGTTAGTAATCGGGTTGTTAAGTGAATCTTGGTTTCCTCATTGACCTTGCTTGTCAGAAGGTCGCAAAAGGCGATCACATGACCTCGGGACACAGCAATCCTCATAAATATGAATCAGTTGCCAAGTAGCTGAATTTTGATCATGCGGCCGTTGGGATGCTGCAAAAGTTGTAACTGTGAAAAATGGTCGTTAAGTCACTTTTTTCCAGTGCTGTTGTCACTTTGCATGGTCACTAAACGAACTGTTGTTCAGTCTAGGACTACCTGTACTTGCCTTTTCCAGCTATGGTTTGTGAATCTGGAATCTGGATTGATTAGGACCCAGATCTGATCGGTCCTTTCCAGCTGTTGCAGACAGAGCTTAGCCTTAGGACTTCACTTCTCCCGTTTTCGAATAACCCTCGCCGGGGTGGGAGTTGCGCGTGTAGTATCTGCGCCACGCTCCGGTTCTTTGACACTTCGGTTTAACCCGCGCTCAGCGGAAAGGAGGAGGCGAGCAAATTGGAGACGCGCCAGTTGCTTCCCTGGAGACGATATTGGTCTCTCCGAAGCGGGAAAGATCGACTGGTTTCCTCCGGAAAAACCACTTTTGAGGTTTTTTTGCAAGGAAACAGGGAGAAGTTAACTTTCACCTCCCCAGCCCCGCGGGGCAAGAGATATCCGGAAGAGGAAAAAGCCAGCATCCCGGGCGGTCTTTTCTGCCCACGATTCACCACAACCCTCTCTCTCTCCAGTAAGCAAGCAAACTGATCAGTTGTTGTTGTTGCTTTTTTTCGGGCTGTTGCGTCACGACCTTTTTAAAAAGCCAAAAATCGATATTCTGCCAACATCCGATCGAGAACTCCTGGCCTAGCCCCTCCCCTGCCACGGGAATCGGACCGACTAGATTCCAGGGAGCGGGGCGCGTTTGCGTCTTCCGCCCCCACCCCCACCCCTTTTTCTTTTTTCTTTTTTCCTTCCACGTGTTGAATCTCGGATAGGAAAAAAAAAGAAGCCCGGAGCTTAAACGCCGAGTTTGCTTGTCGGGGCGCGCGTGCTTTTCTTTTTCTTTTTTTAATTCGGCTCCAAATCTTCGCCCTGCCTTCCAAACATTCAGGAAGATTGCAAAAGTAAAAAAAAAAAAGGAAGAGGCGTCAAAGCCACAGATGCAACGCAACGCAACGCCACCCTACGAGCAAGCCATGTCCTTTTGGCCTGAAAAGCAGGAGCCCGTCTGATTTGCCCGACAGCTCCTCTGCCCCAGGCCGCGCTTGTGACTTAGCAAGCGGTGGCGGCAAAAAGCAACTGTAGTCAGGGTGGAGGCGGCGGCGGAGGAGGAGGAGGAGGAGGAGGACGCCGCCGCCGCCTGAGCCCTCCCCTCCTCGCCTTCGCCTGGGCGAAGAATGCCGGAGGCGCCTGTGGCCGCCCCGCGCGGAGCTTGAAGGCAGCGCCTTGTGCCGTCGACGCCCAGCTCGACCATGGTGGTGGCTCCCTTTTCCTGACGCCGAGCGGCTTTGGCGAAGGACGGAGGGTTTCCGCCGTCCCCTCGCAGCGGGCTGGTATGCGCGGGCAGCGGCGGGATGGCCTCGGCTGTGTTTGAGGGCACCTCGCTGGTGAACATGTACGTGCGGGGCTGCTGGGTGAACGGCATCCGGAGGCTGATCGTCAACCGACGCGGGGACGAGGAGGAGTTCTTTGAGATCCGCACCGAGTGGTCGGACCGGAACGTCCTTTACTTGCACCGCAGCTACTCGGACTTGGGCCGCCTCTTCAAGCGCCTGCTGGACTCCTTCCCGGAGGATCGACCCGAGCTGTCACAGTCCCCCTTCCTCCAAGGTTTGACGGCTGCCTCGCTTTCTGACTTTCTTCCCCCCCATCCTCTGCCCGCTTGGCGCATCGCCGCTAAGGCGAGAGGAAGTTTCCTGAAAAGGAGCGGCGCTTCCTTCCCGCCACAGTTGAAGGATCGGGGTGGTGGTGGTGGGGGGGTGGTGGTGGTAGAAACGTTTCGCCTCCTATTAAACCTGTTTGCTGCTGCCCAAGCCTAAATAGACCCGACGTTTTCTCTGAATCCTTCCTTGTAGTAGAGGAAGGCAACCAGGATAGGGCGCAGTGTCTCTAAGCCGGTTTCTAACAGAACAGAACAGAACAAGAGAAGTGGAAGGGACCTTGGGGATCATCTAGTCCAACCCCTTGCTCAGGCAGGAAACCCTATAGACCATTTCAGACATAGACTCAGAACTGGTCCTGGTCTCAGTCAGTCCTTGACATTCGTGATCAATAGAATGTCTCTGGGCATACCAAAAAAAACGCCTTCCCCCAAGGCTTCACCACAAAAATGTGAATACGAAATACGTGTGATAAATATGTTTCCGCTAATGGCCGAGAGTGAGGATGGGAATGAATGGGGCTGGTTCCACAGGGATAGAATATTCTCCTTTTCTCCTTAGCCATGAAGGAGGACTGTAGAAATAGAGGGGCAGAAAGCCACGTGGCTGGTCAGCTCCACCCTAGACCTCCTTAAGTTCAGCTTTTGAAACAGAGAAGTCCTGTGTGGGTCTGTGTGTTGAAAATAGTTGGCCTGTTGCACTGCCCTTTAATTCTGAGGATTGTTCAAGTACATTCCCAAAATGAAACTTTACTATAACTGGGGTTGCTGTTGTATGGGGAGTTGTGTTAAGTTCATTTATTTGGATTTTCTGACTTTTGGGTCACTTTGGCATGGGGTTCGCAACTTTGTGATTGTACCTTAAATTTCTACCTCATAACTGGTAGGGAGGTTGATAACGGGAAAACAGCAAGGAAATAGCCTGATAATACATTTTGTTTTACAGATACCAATTACTAGTTGTTCATACAAGTGAGTCCTGTTTGTTCTTTGGACTGTCAGTAATCACCTCTGTCTGTGCATATGATTGTTGAACATCCTAATTCATCAAATGTTGATCGACACAAGTAGATAACCAGTTATTGCAGCAGGATAAGTGAAGCTAACTATGATACTCAAATTAAGTAATGTTAATCCAGGAATCCATGATAGCAAGGGGGGGGGGGACAGATGATCCTTCTGAACCTCCCAGAGTAGCCCTATGCCACCCAGAGTTGCTTGAACAGTGAGCTGGGTGGTATTTAAATTTAAATTAATAAATCTTTTTGCTCTTCCAGCCTTATTCTGCTCCTTCAGATTTCTAAATTACTACATAGACTCAAATCAGCTGTTGGACATACTTGAAACATATATTAAAATAGATGCTTTAAAATGGTAAAATCCATAAAAAATGTGCTGTCACCAACTAGCTTTTCCATGCTGTTTCAAGATTATAAATGTTGCAGGAACTTGAATTTACCTGGGTCTGCAACGGAATCCTATAATTATAGCGCAGCTCCCAGAAATACCCATTATAAGAAACAAAAGTAGAAACAAAATGGCTCAGGTGGAAGGACAGAACAGATCCTCAGAACCAACTTATTCTTGTCATAAATTGATTATCTGTTCCAGAAACGAATAATCTTCTAGGTAATTATTGAAGATTATCCCAGAAAAACACTTGTCACAAAGGGCAATTAAAGGCTACAGGTTTTATTCCTGACTCTGTAATTCAGATGTAATCACCATGTTGGCAAGTTTTACATTTGATATTTATATGGCTCATCCAGTTCTCCATCCAACATGTATGCATCTATTCAAGTAATGTATGTGTTTCTCACAGGCAGATTTAATTTGATGTATAAAATATGTTCTAACAAAGGGCTTTTGACTCCCAGCTATTTGGTAACATTTGTAAGAGTCAAATATTTAAATGCTAATGTACATTTAAAACACCCTATATTATATATTTTTATTCCTGTTATCATAACTCCTCCTTCAATTGGATGATATTCTCAGCCCAAGGTATATAAAAAACCCCTCTTTTGTTCATTTTGGGGTTGATTTTAACTGAAATAAAAGAAATATGTTAAAGAAAAAGGGAGGTTAAGATCAAGGATTTTAAAATTTCTAAATAAATACAAAAAACTATAGCACTCAAAAAAAGAAAAGAAAAATGATAGTGGTATACAGTGAAGAAAAAAAATCCTATATTGATTATGGTCATTAAACTTATCTAAATGTGAGGGGGGGGGAAAGGACTAAGTGACTGAAAATAGAGGAAACATCTGTATAATATCCATTGTTGATATAAAATTAAACTTAAATATAGACTCCTTTCTGCAATGTTAAGAAGCTTTCTCTCCATTTCATTGTTGCTCCCAAATTGTAGCCTTAGTTACGCTTGTGTTTTATTATAATTGTTTTTAAAAAGAAGAATGAAATGCTGTGTTGTAGGAGGCCTTGCTTGTTCCTTGTGTGGCTTTTCATGGGATCATGTATAAGATGGCAAGTGGATGGCCGTAAGAACAAGCAGTGCAGTCAAGTCACGTTAAAATCCTTGGCAGGCAGTTTTGTTGTTAATTCTGTGATTGTACTTTGGCTCTGATTGCTGGGAAACTGAACGGGGTACTCAGGCTTTATGTACACAGGCGGTACATAGCCGCTGTTGAAACCGCTGAATAGATTCAGAGGGAGAAGAATGGATGGAGTCCTCTGTTTCAGTAACTCTAAATCTGTGGACTGATCTCCTGGCTAGGTAGTATAAAGTCACAGCTGAGAACCTCATAGCTAGTTCTCTGCTCTGGGCTACCATCCTTTGAGAAATTTGAGCATCTGTGGTAAGGCTGTAAATGCCTCGTAATCCTCATAAGGAATAAAGCATCCCGACAACACTGATTTCGTGCTGATATAGGTAGTTCAAGTAATATTTCTCAGACCACTAAGTAAAGCACTTGTGAGGTGACTAGACTCATACGTTTTTCTTTTTCTGGTTGGAGAAGTGCTCTGAGATTTGGAAGTCTGGATAATAACTCAAATAATAGCTTGCTGAATGTTGCAAAGCATTTTGAGTTGGCAACTATATGATGGCCAGAAGATATAACTTAGGAGAATACCACATCTTTTCTAGTTGGTTGATAATCACACTTTATTATAGGATTAAAATTAGTCAAGGGCAGAGTTCACACACTGTGGAACTTCCTTTGATCAGTAGAATTAGAAACTCGTTGACCACAATATATTTGAATCGTGTCCCTGTTGAGCTTATTATTATTTAGAAATTGTTCCTCCCTCAGAGTTCCTTTAATCATACAATCCATAGAATACGGTTACTAAGCAAATGGGTGAAACTTCATAATGTTAAGATCATAAACAAACCAGGGTTAAAGCTGATCATACTATGCATAAGCTCCTCTTGATGTATTTACTTGACTTTTTGGATACTGGATGAAGGGAGGGGAAAGGGAGATATTGTATTGTATAGTTAAGGAACTAGTTAATATCACCTGGATACTCATTTATATCATCGTTGTCAGATTGCAGTTCTGAGCTGCACTGTTCTGAACTACAGTTTAATTAAGATAATTAATATTAAGTACATAAGGCTAGCTCATGCTTTTGGTGGCTTCAGAAGATTTCCAAGAACATTTAATTTTCGGATGAGGCCACCACTAGCCTTATGTACTGAGTCTTCTATTTACCAGAAATCAGCTAGGGGTGCAATAGCATTTCCCATCTTCTTCTCTGTGCATGCCCTTACAGCAGCGGTTCTCAACCTATGGGTCGCGACCCCATTTGGGGTCGATCGACCATTTCACGGGGGTCGCCAAGCAAGGCTGTCCACCATTTTTTTCCCCTTTTCCGGCGGGTGCCTTACCTCCCTTGAGCTGGACCAGCTGGTGGTCGGCCTGCTCCGTCTCTGCCGCTTGCCAGCTACGCCTTGGCCGGCGCAGGGGGCGGAACCACGCATGCGCGGCACTCCCGGGCAGGGAAAGTCCTCGACTCACTACCGGTTGGGTAGTCCTCGACTTACGACCCGTTTAGTCCTCGACTTACGACCCGTTTAGTCCTCGACTTACGACTGGTTTAGTCCTCGACTTACGACCGGTTGGGGGTCGTGGCATTAAAAAGGTTGAGAACCACTGCCTTACAGCATCATCAAAGGCTTTTAAAGACCAGCATACAAATCAGCATTAATTATGTGACGCTTGCTGGCATCATGACTCTTTCTATCTAGACCAGGGGTAGGCAACCTTGGCTCTTTTATGACTCGTGGACTTCAACTCCCAGAATTCCTCAGCCAACCAGCCAGCCAGCCAGCCAGCCAGCCAGCCAGCCATGCTGGCTCAGGAATTCTGGGAGTTGAAGTCTACGAGTCATAAAGGAGCCAAGGTTGCCTACCCCTGATCTAGACAGTATTCCCCAAACACATTAATTTCATTTTTAAGCTTATGTAACCAAAAAAGATAAAGTGTCCTGTCTCAGACCACACACATGCAACCTGCAGAGAGGTTTGCAATTTTTACTAGAAAAATTTTAAAGCAAATAAACAAGTGGCAAAGGAAATGTGTGGGCAAACATGCATGCACAGACAAGAGAAATCAAGTCCCCCAAAGTCCAGGAAGCTTGCCTTGCGAAAGAATCCAAATCAAAAAACAGCAGGCCCAAGGATCAGACAGCTGGTCCAAGTCGAGAGTCACAAACATGAAAATTCAGGTTGGGAGCCAAGGCACACCGGGTGTAGGTCAATGAACGGTTGTCACCAAGGAAAAGGCTTGAGCTCACTGCTCTTCTTAAATAGAAGCAACCCCATGTTGGTCATTTGGAAGGGTGAGGTTCCATTTCCATCAAAGAGCCTTGCAGATCACCTTTGCTCTGCCCATCGCACCATGTTCCCTTGCACGGGGAGGGAGTGGCAGCTTAGACTCCTCATCTTTAGAGGCTGGGGGCAGCTGTGTCTCTTGGTTACTGT